ATTTTTCTTCTTCTTCTTCTTCTTCTTCTTTATTTCTTTAAAACAAAAAAGCAAAAAAATATAGCAGTAGTGTTGAAATTTTAATTTATGTTTAAAATAGTCTCAGTTTAAAATTTTAATTTTTATAGAGATCAGGGAAAAAGTCAAAAGTTTTCTCCGAAAATTAGGAAAAATTAAAAAAAAAAATTTCGTGGAAAGTCTGTTATTTGAATGTTTATTTCAATTTGATAATCTGTTTATTTTCTGTCATAGAGCAATAATTCATTATGTCAAATGACAATTAAATGTTATTGGATTTACAAATAGTGTGTGTTTTGTAATTGTGTCATATTAATCACAAGTGACAATCGTGCGGTCGATTAAATTATACTATCATTCCACTTGTTTTTTCCCTTCATCGTTTTGCATACTTTCCAAGGCTAGAATGGTATATGAAACATTCCAATTTATAATTTCCAGGTCTCTCCTCAATGAAAGGAGAACGTTGATGCAAGTGATGAAGGATTCACTTTTTTTTCGCCTTCTGGCAGTAGTTCAATGTCTCTTTTGTTGAAGAAAGTTTAACAAAATTTGTATTCTTCAATGGAATTAGGTTGTATTTTTATATCCAGAATTTTGAAAAAGAAACTTTGGTTCTGATTTCTCTGATTAGCCTCATTTTCCCTCCCCCAAAAAAAAGAAAGAAAGAGGAAAAAAGTAATCGTTATTAATTTCAATCGATTTATGAATTTTATCATCATTAGAAGTTTAATGTTTTGAATTTAAAAGGAAAAATTGAGTAAAAAAAAATTTCCGTTTTATAGTCTTTTAAAAATATGTCTATTTTAGGAGAATTTCCAATGAGTGTTGATATGGTTGATTGGTTTATCTAGATTTCTGTTATTAATTATATGTACATTAGAGGGCAAAAAGATTGCGCGCTAATTATTCACATGACTTGATCTAGTTTTATCGATGCAAGAAACGAGATCAGATGAAAGAGAGGTTTTCAACATTAATTACAGATGACGTGTTTGCTTTATAGGCAATTTAATTTTTTGATATTTATCAATATTCGACAGATTGGAAAAAAAATTTATTTGTATCAAATATGTGATTACTTATCTATTATCAAGTAGGTAAATATTTACTTGAATTAATTAATTTTCATTTAAATTAAATAAATTGTGTTTGAACCGAAATTCAATTATTTTCAAAAATTTTCCTCAATTCAATGATTTTCAATATCTACTATTTTCATAAAATTTTCCAAAAGAATTCAATTATTTAAAAAAAATTAGATTAAATTCTACGCAAACATTTAATTATAATTTCATAAATAATAAAAATTTTACAGAATTTCAATTATTTACAAATTTTTTATAAATTTTTTCGCAATAATTCAATTATGTTCAAGAATTAAAAAGAATTCTCGTCAAAATTTCAAACATTTCTAAAAATTATAAAATTCTTCGCTAAAATTCAATTATATTCAGGAATTTTTGTAAAATTCATTGTAAAATCCAATTACTTTCATAAATAACAATATGCATCTCAAGAATTCTTGAGAATAATAATTGAAATAATTCGATTATTTTCAAAAAATCTAAAAAAAATTCAACATTTCAATTATCTTTTTAAATAAATAGCAAAGTTCCTCGACTAAATTCAATTATTTTCAGGACTTTAAATAAAATTCATTGCAAAATTCAATTATTTTCAAAAATATGTAATAGTGATATTACATCGTGATGAATACATCACGAGAATTCAATTATTTTCGAAAATTTTAATAAAATTCATGGCAAAATTTCAATTATTTTTAAATATTTGAATAAAATTTTTTGAAAGAGTTCAATTATTTACATAAATAATAAAATTTTTCTCAAGAGTTCATTTATTTTCATAAATAATATAATTCTTTGTCAACATTCAATTATTTTCATAAATAATAAAATTTTTGCGGGGATTCAATTATTTTCGTAAATATAATAAAATTTTTACGGGGATTCAATTATTTTTGTAAATAATAAAATTCTTTTTAAGAATTCAATTATTTTCATAAATAATAAAACTCATTGGAAAAATTCAATTATTTTTAATACAATTTTAATCGAATTTCTCGAAAAATGTAATTGTATTCTTAGAAATTTTAATAAAATTCGTCAATAGAAATCTTTAAAAATTTAAATTTTTAACTAACAATTTTGTGGAGTTAAATTTTTTTGAGAAACTTTAATTGCGGATTTTTAAAATATTATTTTAAGTTTTTATTTTCTAAATATTTAATTGAAGAATTTACGAATAATTGAAATTTTGTAAAAATTGAGTTGTAAACAAATGAATTTGAAAATTCTTAAAAAACTTTTTCAAAAATTATTAAAAATAATGGATTAAAAAAATTCAATTTTGTAAAAGTTACAAATTATTGCAAAAATTCAATTATTTTCAAAAGTAATAATATTCTTCGCAAAAATTAAATATTGTTTAAAAGTAATCAAATTCTTCTTACGGATTCAATTATTTTCATAAATAATAAAACTCATTGCAGAATTTCAATTATTTTTAATTCAATTTTAATCAAATTTCTCGAAAAATGTGTATTCTTAAACATTTTATTAAAATTCTACTAGAATTCAATTATTTGAAAATTTGTTGATAACGATTCTTTATGGGAATTGAATTTTAAGAAACATTCAATTATTTAATAATTTAATTTAATTTTGTATTTAAATAATTGAATTCTAATATAATTTTCTAATAAATATTGATTTGAAAATGAATTTCAGTTAAAATTTTATATAATAATTGAATATTAAAAGCAATATAGCGTGGATTTTTAAAAATAATTAAATTTTGAAATTAATTTTTTTGAAAAAGTTTAATTGAATTTTTTAAATATTATTTTAAGTTTTTATTTACTGATATTTATTTATCTACTTGTTATTAATTTTTATTTGACTCGATAATTCTATTTTATAAAGTTTCTATAGAAAAATTATGATTCAGTAAATTTTTGTTGTTGTGAAGAAAATTATTATATTTTCCAGGGATCAGGTCAGGAAAATAAGAGACTTTAGGGAAAACTTAGGGAATTTTATCAACAATATTAATTTTCGGTATTAAATATATTAAAAAACATTTAATTATTTTAGAATTGTTTTTTATTCAATTAAAAAACTTTTGAAATTACTACGAATTTTAAAACTGAATCTTATATTTTTTCTATTTCTGTCAATATTTATTTTTTATTAAATTTTTTTGAAAATTATAATGCCTTGGGAAAAATGATAATAGTAATTAAATATTTAATAACAAATATTTATTATAAAAATTGATTTCGAATAATTTCACAAATGAGAATATTTACAGATAGATGTAAATAATAAATAATTCCTTTTGTATCTAATATTATGTTTAGAGTGAATCAAAATATTTTTTACGTTCAGAGAAAAAAAATCAAAATTCCATTTGGAAATCAGGGGGAAAATCAAATTTTTCTGCGTGACAACCGTGTCATCATAAATTCATTCAACTTTCGCCTCTGTAAAACTCGTTTGTCATTTCATCAAGATTGTTTTCTCGCATAGAGTGTGTACTATTTTTTGTGCTTGTATGGATGACTTTACATAATAGCAGTAAATATCTTCTAATCACTCAAACAATGATTAAAGTCAGTCATTATAAATACGTATATATTTATATGAGTGAATTTATTATTATTCATTTGTCATACTTAAAAACTCATTTTTCATAGATCCAAACCCATTTGGAAACTATAGCTAACTTTAATTTTCCGTAATTATTACCTTTCTTTAAAAATTCAGAAAAGAGTTGCTTTCGTAATTTAATTATTCTATTTGCATTTTTCGTGAGCAGTGTCATTAGAAATCAGCAAAGAAAATGATCTTCTCTCAACTGAATCATTAGGTATGCGAAATATCCAGAAAGATTTCATTATCATCATCATGTCGTGTTATATTAGGTGCTGATCATAATACTGATTATTAAATTATTTATGAATTATTTACGTATGTATTTATGAATTATTTAAGTATTTATGAATTACTTAAGTATTTATGAATTACTTAATTATTTATGAATTACATAATTATTTATGAACCATTTAAGCATTGTTTAGAAAATAACTTAAGTACCGAGTCAAAACAAAATTGATAGAATTTTACTAAAATGATTCTATAGAATGAATTTACATAAAAAAATAAAGTAGGAGAAAAAAAAGATTATTTATTTACATTAATCTATTTTTGCTTTTTACTCTTTCCTTTTTCTACTAAATGTTTACTAGAATTGCTACAGAGTCATTCTAGTAAAATTCTATGGAATTTTTCCAACTGGGTATTCTTTATGAATTATTTAAGTATTGTTTAGGAATCATTTAAGAATTTAAGTATTCTATTCTTACATTTAAGAATCCAATTAGAAAGCCAAGGACGTTATCGTTTTTTTATGTAATAACTGGTAAATCGTTACTTCTTTCTCAATTCTGACGTTTGCAAATATTTCGTACAACTTCTGATTTTTTTTATTTAGGAAGCTTCTTTCCTTTCTGAATTGTACAAAAAAATTTACCTCGACAGGGTGAAACAATTCAATTATTTTAAAAAGTAATAAAATTCTTCGCAGAAATTCAATTATGTTTGAAAATTATTTTAAATTCTCCTCAAAATTTCAATTCTTTTTATAAATAATTAAATTGTTCTCCACAATTCAATTATTTTCAAAAAATTTAAAGAAATTCGTCAAAAGAATTTAATTATTCATAAAAACTCTAATAAAAATTTTGGAAGTTATTTGTAGATTTATTTATGTTCGAAATCAAATAAATTTAAATTTCATGAGAAAAAAACCGAGAAAAATTAGGATAAAGCCGGGAAATGGCCGGGAATTTTGTTGAATGAAAATAGTAGACACCCTGCTCGAGAAAAAGTTTGTTCGATTGATGTCAAATTTAGAAAAAAATGATTCTTTTCGAATGCAGGTTTCGAATTATATTTCAGATAACATCTTGAGAAAAATGTTTTCTCAAAAATTGCCAAAGGGAGTTTGTCACCCTAATGAAAAATTGCAAACATATGAGGAAAATTAATTGAAAATCCTGCAAATTCGTCTCTCTCAACTTTGTAGCATTTTTCGGTAAATTATTCATTGATTAACAATAACAGGAATTATTGTTGTTTTCAAATTAAGAAAAAGGGAAAAATGCATAAAATACGATTGTATGTGGTACAAGAGCTGCAGGAGGAGGCACCCGATGAAGAATTCTTTGATGACGATGATTATCCACCGCCAATGATGCAGAGAAGAAATTCTCGCAGACCAAGTTTGTTACGGCAGAACATCATTCAAAAGGATCGTAAATCTGATTCAGTTTCGCCGAAATTGAAGCAAATTCGTCAGGAGATGAATAAATGTGATGTTAATTCATTGGAAAAGTCATTGTCTTTCTCGAACAGAGGTGGAAATTTACTTCCTTTAGAGAATGGTCTAATTTATGAAAAACCACTAGTGCCACCTCCAATTTTACCAAAAAATCATGCCAATATACCTCGAAAGTCAGTTTTTGCATCGCCGAGAATAAAACAATTGGCTCTCAATCTTCAGGAAAAGATGTTGGAGAGAAATGCTAAACTGACAGAGAATGTTAATAACAATTTGCAAGATTGTAAATCAACGGAAGTTGATGATAACAATAAATACGGAATGTGTCGTACTGTCAAGAATGACAATTTTTTAAGATCACTCACTCCAATTATTGAGAATATGAACACTAGTGGAGAAACCGATGACAAAGTTGAGAGACACTCGAATAATTCGTGGATCATTCAAAATTGTGAATACGATCAAGTAGATAGTGAAGAACGAAAGAAGAATAGAATTAACGAAAAATTTTCCTCTTCCTCGCCAATAATTCTTCACGATAAACGAATTTTGATTCAAAACAAAATCAATCATGACGACATAATACAGGATGATGCTTCTATCAAGAGTAATAGTTCCACAGGGTCCACGATCGTTCGTAGGAATAATAAACTCAACAGATATATGGTGAGTTTTTTTTTATGCACATTTTTCGTCATATTTAGAAATCGTAAAGTGTTAGTGTCGATAAATATTTTAATGAAGTTCTATAATTTAATTTCCTCCTTAAAAATTTTTTATTAAGAAAGAAATGAGAATTAGTAAAAAGGTTCATGTATATTATTATCTGGGTTAAAGACATTTTATTGTAGATAGAAATCCGCTCCACTTGAATGTATTGATTACACATATCATTTGAATGGTTAATGCACCGTTAATAAATAATCAAAATAAAAAAGCCTGTTAATGATTGTGGAAATTATCTAACTATATTTAATTTGTATAAATTATACTTTCTCGAGCAATCAATATATATTTTATATATCACGGAACTTAGGTGCTAGGAAGTACGCACTCTCCTCAAATCATTTATTACATATTTTATCGTTTCGAAAACATCGGGGGAAAATTAAAATAATTTACAACCTTTTTTTTTAACCAAAAAAAAAAGAAATTTTACTTTTTAACTTTCGCTATACATCCGTTGGTATCATCACAGGGTTGACACAGGTCAGGGAATTTAGGGAAAGTAGAATTGTTCAGGGAAATCAGGGAAAAGTACTGGAAATTTCAATTACTTTCAAAAATTTTCTTCTATTCAATAATTTTCATTATCCATACTATTTTATTCAAATTTTCCAAAACAATTCAATTATTTAAAAAAAATTAGATTAAATTCTACCCAAACATTTAATTATTTTCATAAATAATAAAAATTTCACAGGAATTCAATTATTTACAAATTTTTTTATAACGTTCTTCTCAATAATTCAATTATGTTGAAGAGTTAAAAAAAATTCTCTTCAAAATTTCAAATATTTTTAAAAATTATAAAATTTTTCTCAAAAATTCAATTAAATTCAGAAATTTTTATAAAATTCATTGTAAAATTCAATTATTTTTAGAAATAACAATATTGATCTCAAGAATTCTTGAGAATAATAATTCAATTATTTTCAAAAAATCTAAAAAAAATTGTCGTCAACATTTCAATTATCTTTATAAATAAATAGCAATATTCTTCGACAATATTCAATTATTTTCAGGAATTTAAATAAAATTCATTGCAAAATTCAATTATTTTCATAAATATGTAATAGTATTCATTACAAGAATTCGATTATTTTCAAAAATTTGAATAAAATTCATGGCAAAATTTCAATTATTTTTAAAGATTTGAATAAAATTTCTTGAAAGAGTTCAATTATTTTCATGAATAATAAAATTTGTCTCAGAAATTCAATTATTTTCATAAATAATATAATTCTTTGTCAAAATTCAATTACTTTCATAAATAATAAAAATTTCACAGGAATTCAACTATTTATAAATTTTTAAAAAATATCTTCGCAATAATATTCAATTATTTTCAGAAATAATTTATTAGAATTTTAAATTTTCATAGAATTTCAATTATTTTTAATATAATTTTGATTGAATTTCTCGAAAAATGTAATTATTCTTTAAAAATTTTATTAGAATTCGTCGAAATAATTCAATTATTTAAAAATTTGTTGATAACATTTTTTATGAGAATTCAATTTTGATAAAAACTCATTTATTCAATAAATTATTTATTTTTCTATTTAAATAATTGAATTCTCGTAGAATTTGCTAATAAAAATTGATTTAAAAATAAAGTTCAGTTAAAATTTAAGATAATAATTGAATATAAAAATAATTATTTCTTGAATTTTTAGAAATAATTGAATTTTGAAAAGGTTTTGAAATTAAAATCTTTGAAAATATGAATTTTTCATATTTTTAACTAAGAGTTTTGTAGAATTTATTAACTTTTTTGAAAAAGTTTCAATTGAATTTTTTTTGAAATTATTTAATGTTTTTATTTCTAAATATTTAATTGAAGAAGTACCGAATAATCGCAATTTCATAAAATTGAATTGTAAACAAATGGATTAGAAAATTCTCTAGGAACTTTTGCAAAAATTATTTTAAAAAATTGTTAATTAATAATTGAAATCTTTCGAAGAATTTTAATAACTTTTTCTGAAAATAATTACATTTTTCGAAGAATTTACTTTAAATTGAATTAAAAATAATTGAAATCCTGTGAAGAATTTTATTATTTAAGAGATTACTTTAATTCTTTCAACGAGCTTTTATTACATTTTGTTTAAATAATTGAAATCCTGTGAAGAATTTTATTATTTATGAAAATAATTTAATTCTTGCAACGAATTTCACTACATTTTTCGTGAAATTCATTTAAAATTGTATTAAAAATAATTGAAATCCTATAAAAAATTTTATTATTTATGAAAATAATTGAATTCTTACAACGAATTTTATTACCTTTTTTTAAATAATTGAATTCATGTGAAAAATTGTATTACTTGAAAAAAAAATTGAATTCTTGCGAAGGATTTTATTAAAATTTTTGTAAATAATTTTACTTTTTTTTTAAATTTTATGGAAATTTAAATTATTTGAAAACATGAAACTCGTAAAAATTCTATTCAGTCCACTTACAAAATTCGTATTAAAAGCTGTAGTTATAAAATTTTACGAATAGAATTGAATTGAAAAAACTTTAATTTTATTAAAGATTTAAAACAATATTTTCAATGAATTGTTATTAAATAATTGATAAATAATTGAATTTTACAAAGAGTCCTATTCGAATAAAATTCACATTAAACTGCAAAAAATTCGTTGCAAATCTTGATTTGATGATACAGAGAAAAAACACCTCTCCTAATCAGAAAGCACACTTTTAATTCACACTAACTCACACGAAAATTACAAAAAAAAAAAAAAAAAAAAAATTCGTTACAAATGTTGATTTGATGATAGAAGAGAAAAAAAGATTATAAAGAAGGAAATTTTTCGAAGAAAGTTAATACCATACCGCAATATGAGTTGCAACGATGTAACATGCAATTTTCAGAAGAGTGAATTAGCATTATATACGAAGTGCGTGCACCCATATCACATAACGAGGCTCACTTGGCTTGGGTTAAAAAAGAGAGAAAAAGAAGAAAAAAGAAAGAGCCAGTAGGGAAATAAAAGAAAAGTAAAATAATAAAAGGAATGAAAATAGCCTTCGAGACAGAACAGGCACAGACAGCGGGATATTATAGCATTCTAAACTCTATATAGATGGAGTAAAATAATCGTCGAGTTATCACCGTGATGTATAGCTAAATTGCAATAAATCTGCAATATTTATTACACGTGAATCCTTTTCTCAATGAAATCGATTCATTTATTCAGTCGGGCGTGTATTTTCATTCAGTGCAATTCAGTGCGAGCGCATTTTATCTGCGAGCTTAATGCAATACTTTATATAATCATATGCACATCAAATTTTGCAACTTGATTGGTCATGGTCACAATTTATATTATTATTATTATTATTATTACCATTATTATTATGATTATTATTACTACTATTATTATTTTTATTATTATTATCATCATCATTATTTTTATTACAATTATTTTTATTATTACTATTTTTACTATCATTACACTAAAAGAAAACTTTATTTGATTCCTCTCAATACTTAGTTCTAAATAGACAAGTAATCTGTTATTTGAATCAAATTAGAGCTTTTTTTTATTCAAGAGGGGCTTTTTCTCAAAAAGGTCTTTTTTCGAAATGTGGCGGTACTTAGAATTTTTTTAGGACGGTCTTGACAATTTTTTTGGAGTCTGTTCAAAAATTATAGCTTTTTTTATTGTAAAAGGGTTTTTTTTATAAAAAAGGAGCTTTTTTCCGAAACGTTCTGTACTCAACAATTTTTTAGAATTCATTTCTAATTCAGAAACAATTTCTATCTGGAAAAACGACGCTGGTCTTGATTTGAGTTGATAATAAAATTTTGTGCTTTTTTATTAAAAATTGGCGATTTTTAGTATTTTAATATTAAATTAATTTTTTTATACGATTTTTTTAGTCGATTACAAAATTTGTGCTTTTTCTCAAAACGTGGCTCTACTCAAAAATTTTTTAAAATTCATCTCTGTTTAAAAAAAAAATTTATATCTTGAAAAGAAACGCTGGTCTTAACATCTTTTTATATAATTTTTCTGAGTCTCAAATAAGAGCTTTTCTTTATTGAAAAAGGGCTTTTTTTAATAAAAAAGAGCTTTTTTCCGAAACGTGGCTGTACTCAAAAATTTTTTAGAATTCATGAGTTCTAATTCAGAAAAAATTGTTATGTCGAAAAACGACACTGGTATCTTGATTTTTTTTATACGATTTTTACTATCGATTAGAAAAATGTGGGCTTTTTAGATTAAAAATGGGCTTTCTTTTATTAAAAAAAAAATGGTTTTTTCCCGAAACGTATCAGTACTTAGAAACTTTTTAAAATTCATCTCTGATTCAAGAAAAAATTTTATGTTGAAAAATTTTTTTTTCATTGAAAATTGAGCTTTTTTTTATTGAAAAAGGGCTTTTTGGTTTAGAAAAGGAGCTTTTTTCGGAGAAACAATTGTCAGAAGCATTTTAGAATTCATAATTAAGAAAAAAATTTGTATCTGGAAAAACGACGCTCGTCTTCATATTTTTCAATACGATTTTTGGAGTTGATTATAAAATTTTTGTGCTTTTTTCATTAAAAATTGGCTTTTTTTTAATTAAAAAAGGACTTTTTTCCGAAATGTGGTTATATTCATAAATTTTTTAGAAGTCATCCCTGTTTCAGATGAAAGTTGTGCCTTGAAAAGCGACGATGAACTTAATATTTTTTATACGATTTTTTTTAGTCGATTATAAAATTTGGTCTTTTTTTTTTGTTAAAAAAGGGCTTTTTTCCGAAACGTGGCTTTATACAGAAATTTTTTAAAATTCATCACTGATTGAAAAAAAAAAATTTTATCTTGAAAAATAAAAGGCTGGTCTTAAAACATCTTTTTATAGGATTTTTTGGAGTAGATTCTCAAATTAGAGTTTTTTTCTTGAAAAAGGGCTTTTTTGGTTAAAAAAGAGCTTTTTCCGA